TTGCGCAAATGTTTATGAAACCAATAATTTTAGGGTTATAGGATAAAAAAACATATCAAGTCTCAAAATTGCGTGCAACCGTTGAATGGCAAAAAAAAAAACAATACCCAAAATTGGCCGTAGGCGACACTTTAAAAGCTTTTATTATGCATCAGTTTAGTGTTAAAGGAGAACTATGAGGTGGGTCGCAGCTGGGCGGATCTCGTCATCGATGTCGGGATCCGCTCCAGCTGCAGCGTCTCAGTGTACCGCGAGCTGTAGCTCGTGGTATACTGAGCTTAGGGTGACGGGAGGACGCTAGTTTGTGTCCTCCCGTTACCCTAAGGAGAACTATGGAGAAAAGCCCTGACCCCATAGTTCTCCTTTAACAGTAGTTGATGGCTCTAGAATTATTGCCTGCACTCGGTCGTCATGGTGATGAGTAACATGAAATGAATAAAAAATAAATAAAAATGTAAAAGCTAATAAGATAAATTAAAACAATAAAAAAGTGATATAAAAGTAAAAAACAAAAACATTATAAAAAATAAAAAAATTAAATATGAGAACATTTGTAAAATGTACACAAAATAAATACAAATTTTCAGAAATTAAACAATGATAAAAAGTATAAATAAATCAAAATAATTAAAACCAGCCCTGCCATCCTCACCATCTGGTTGCCATTCTCCATTAGGTGGGTGAGCATGGGTGCATTGAGGAACCTGGCCTTGGGGCACCAACTATCTACAAGTACATTCTCCTCTGTGAAATGACAGCCAGTGACCACTTGTGCTATCCCCCTTGTGAATGATCCGACTGTGATCCAGATTCTAGGTGGTTGAAGAACAGAAGTCCCCTCTGAGGTGGGAATGGTCCAGGTAAAAAAAAGCTCAGGAAAGGAAGGTGCCAGACTCGCCCTGAGTAATAAGAGGAGAGTAGGGGCATTGAAGGAGAAGGGCAGTAGGGGGTAGACACTGCTACACTTTGCACATTACATACTCCTGAAAGCTGCACAATTCATCTGTTATGTTGTGCGTTACATACTCCTGGCTGCTGCACTGTGTGTTATGTTGTTCTTTACATGCTCCCAAATGCTGAGCATTATGTGCTACATAGTCCTGACTGCTGCACTATGTATGTTACATACTCCTGAGTGTTACACTCTGTATATTATGTTGTACTATGCAGAGACACAAATTCTGAACTCTGAGTGTTATATACTCCTGTCTGCTGCATCCTGTATGGTACATATTTCTGACCACTGCACTTTGTATGTGATATTGTACTGTACATACCGTGTTTCCCCGAAAATAAGACACTGTCTTATATTTTGTTTGCCCCCAAAAACCACACTAGGTCTTATTTTCGGGGTAGGTCTTATATTACAGGAATCTTGAAAAATAGTGCTAGGTCTTACTTTCGGGGTAGGTCTTATATTACAGGAATCTTGAAAAATAGTGCTAGGTCTTACTTTCGGGGTAGGTCTTATATTACAGGAATCTTGAAAAATAGTGCTAGGTCTTACTTTCGGGGTAGGTCTTATATTACAGGAATCTTGAAAAATAGTGCTAGGTCTTACTTTCGGGGTAGGTCTTATATTACAGGAATCTTGAAAAATAGTGCTAGGTCTTACTTTCGGGGTAGGTCTTATATTACAGGAATCTTGAAAAATAGTGCTAGGTCTTACTTTCGGGGTAGGTCTTATATTACAGGAATCTTGAAAAATAGTGCTAGGTCTTACTTTCGGGGTAGGTCTTATATTACAGGAATCTTGAAAAATAGTGCTAGGTCTTACTTTCGGGGTAGGTCTTATATTACAGGAATCTTGAAAAATAGTGCTAGGTCTTACTTTCGGGGTAGGTCTTATATTACAGGAATCTTGAAAAATAGTGCTAGGTCTTACTTTCGGGGTAGGTCTTATTTTCGGGGAAACAGGGTACTCCTGTATATTATGTTGTTCTTTACATACTCCTGACCACTGTATATGTTATATACTCCTGACTAGTGCACTTTGTACATTACATACTGCTGACCCCTGCACTGTGTACATTACATCCTGCTGGCCAGTGCACTTTGTACATTACATACTCCTGACCCCTGCACCCTGTATATTACATGCTCCTGACCCTTGCACCCTGTACATTACATACTCCTGACCACTGCACTTTGTACATTACATACTCCTGACCACTGCACTTTGTACATTACATACTCCTGACCACTGCACTTTGTACATTACATACTGCTGGCCAGTGCACCTTGTACATTACATACTCCTGGCCCTTGCACCCTGTACATTACATACTCCTGACCTTTGCACCCTGTACATTACATACTCCTGACCCTTGCACCATCTACATTACATACTCCTGACCCTTGCACCCTGTACATTACATACTCCTGACCCTTGCACCCTGTACATTACATATTCCTGACCCTTGCACCCTGTACATTACATACTCCTGACCCTTGCACCCTGTACAATACATACTCCTGACCCCTGTACATTACATACTCCTGACCACTGCACCCCATACATTACATACTCCTGACCACTGCACCCCATACATTACATACTCCTGACCCTTGCACCCTGTACATTACATACTCCTGATCATTGCACCCTGTACAATACATACTCCTGACGCTTGCGCCCTGTACATTACATACTCCTGACCCCTGTACATTACATACTCCTGACCCCTGTGCCCTGTACATTACATACTCCTGACCCCTGTACCCTATATATTCCATACTCCTGACCCCTGTGCCCTGTACATTACATACTCCTGACCACTGCACCCCATACATTATACATTATTGACTGCTGTCCTCTGTATGATATTTTGTACTTCACTCTCACAGTTGTTGGTTGCCAATGGTCCCCCGACCCCAACTTTCTTACTAAAGTTCTCTTTAAGCCGGGCTCATCTAAAGTGTCAGTTATGTGTCTACATTGTGTATGAAGAAACACATAAATCTTGGAAAGGTTTCACTTTTCACAGACGTCTCTTTGTTTATTACATACTCCTGGCCCTTGCACCCTGTACATTACATACTCCTGACCTTTGCACCCTGTACATTACATACTCCTGACCCTTGCACCCTGTACAATACATACTCCTGACCCCTGTACATTACATACTCCTGACCACTGCACCCCATACTCCTGACCCCTGTACATTACATACTCCTGACCACTGCACCCCATACATTACATACTCCTGACCACTGCACCCCATACATTACATACTCCTGACCCTTGCACCCCGTACATTACATACTCCTGATCATTGCACCCTGTACAATACATACTCCTGACGCTTGCACCCTGTACATTACATACTCCTGACCACTGCGCCCTGTACATTACATACTCCTGACCCCTGCACATTACATACTCCTGACCCCTGTGCCCTGTACATTACATACTCCTGACCACTGCACCAGTGGTGTATTTATGTATTTGGCTGCCCTAGGCAAGCCAAGCTTCGGCCGCCCTCGGCACCTTA